GAACTATCCACGATGACTCCAAGATCTTTTTCCTGATTTGTTGTAGCTAAATTAGCCCCCATCATATTGTATGTATAGTTGGGGTTATTTTTTCCAATGTGCATTACTTTACATTTATCCACATTAAATTTCATTTGCCATTTTGTTGCCCAATCACTTAGTTTTGTGAGATCTTTTTGAAGTTCTTCACAGTCTGCTTTGGACTTAACTATCTTTAGCAATTTAGTATCATCTGCAAACTTTGCCACCTCACTGTTTATCCCTTTGGTATACCCTACCTTTGGTTTTGTTTGGAGGGAGAGTAATTTTGGGGAGAGATGGCAAGGTGGTGGCAGAGATGTGGATGTGGTGCCTCAATTGGCAAAACAGAGGTCGCTTCTGCCACACTTAGTAAATCATAACTTTTTTTAAGCAGGGAGTCAGAGTACTTATTGAGACCCAACAGGAACTACAGGGTCTACCCGCTGAAGATAACCACTTTCCCCTGAATCACGGTACACCTGACATGCTACCAAATTCTGTATCAAAATAAAAGATTAATTGTTCTGATGTTCTGCAGCATTGTGTCAACGGCATTAGAGGCAATGGTTACACAGAACTGAACAAAGATGGGGGACAGACAAATACTTTTTTTTAAACTTTAAACTTGTAAGATATGTCATATTGATAATATTGAGAGCTGGCTTTCTCTCTTTCCCTTTTTATATGCAGAACATGAAGGCACTGGAAGTGAAAGGACCACATGTTGCCCTGTCACTGAGTCTTTGTTCTAGGACTGCCTTGAATAGAGATAATATAGTTATTAATTCTTCAGCCCATACAATCCTTGGTCACTGGTGACATTCTTGTGCTGAAACTACAAGGAAGGTGCCACTTTTGACAGTGATGTTTTGTTGATGTGCATCTCGGTCTTCTAAGAAAACTGAGAATATCATTGGCCCTTGAAGATGTGGTATCTGTTTTCCCATTGTCCTGCTGAGAGAGGAACTTATTTGAGAGTTATCTGTCTGAGACTCAGTCCAGATAAGATGAAAGTGATGCTGGTTTGCTTTCTCCTGCAACTGCAGGTGGTTTACTGTCCTTAATGAAGAAGGCCTAAATGTAGGGGCAAGTTTAGAACTCTAATTCGTCCTGGCGACCCAGGTAGCTCTGGTGGTCAGAAATGTCTTTTCTTTATCTGTAACAATGGTGCAGATTATGTGGCAGCCAAATTGCTTAGTGAGGTTGGCTGTAGGGAGTATATTATACCATTGCCCGACAAACTGTGAGGGATTCCTTTTTGCTTCTGGATGCCAGTCAGGATATTGATATTGATATTTTAAGCCCTAGCTGGTTTGAAGTCTAGTTATAATACCTAAGATACCACTTGTTTTCCCAGCACCATGGCAACTGAAAAGCTGATTCTGTCTTGATAGAGGTTCCAAGGATTTCAATATCTAGGGGATGGTGACAAGACCATTTAAGTAGAGGCCCCCTTGACTCTGGAATACACTTTACCAGTTGACCCAACAGAACCTGAATTTGTTAAACATAAGAGTACAATGTAAAACTCATGTTTTCAGGCAGAGGGGGGTTTTGTAAGGAGAGAGAGGAAGTTATGGGATGTGTTGAAGGAATGGGAGGTATCAGTTTGGGGTACATCATCATACATTTCGATAGCATTAGGCTAAGTGTTTATAGTTTTGAATGCTCATCTCAGTCTAAACTCCAATTCTTTGGAGATCTGTCCACCACTAATTACTACTACTACTACTTAGTTTATAAATAGAATTCTGAAGTAGAGGTCTTTTCCTTTTGGTGTCCTGACTGGTAGTTTGATAGCTTGCTCAATAATGCAATTGTTAGCGCTCTAGAGGAATGTTTTGGAAATACTGATATTACAAACTCACCATACATGTTTTCATAATGTTTTTTTTACATATAATTGGCTGGTACTACTTTTTCTTGCTATTGATATGGGTACCTGTTTGAACCTGACTGAATCTATCTGGATCTAACTGAACTAATCATAAGAGGGTCTCAACTTCTTTACATTTCTGACTTAATTAAACTGTGCAGCCTTGGATCTTTGAGGACTGTATCATATGAACAAAGAAATCTTCAATTTATCTGGTATGGTCTATGTAATAGATGTTTTCTGTTTAACATTTTTATTTTAAGTATCAGAGGGGTAGCTGTGTTAGTCTGAATCTGTAAAAAGCAACAGAGGGTCCTGTGGCACCTTTAAGACTAACAGAAGTATTGGGAGCATAAGCTTTCGGGGGTAAGAACCTCACTTCTTCAGATGCAAGACTTCAGACTTGCATCTGAAGAAGTGAGGTTCTTAACCACGAAAGCTTATGCTCCCAATACTTCTGTTAGTCTTAAAGTTGCCACAGGACTCTCTGCTGATTTTTATTTTAATTCCATTTTATTCAAAGCTTTGGGGGTTATATTTTGCTCTGGTTGAGCAGAAAGCACACCTGCTCAGTTAATGATATATTTGGCCTGCTATTTGCTTTTCAAATTGAATTCAGATTTTTGGCTTAGCTAGGTAGCCTGGACTGTAGAGCAAACAGTTTTCTCATACAATGCAAAACTGTCTAACTTTTTTCATAGTTTTATGAAAAAGCAAAAATATTTCTCATCTGCAGAATATTTTTATTTG